AAATAGGGTGAATACATCTCATATTACTGATTTACTGGTAGTCTCAAAACTTTACTTGCATACGAAAAATAGTTTATCAAGGTTTAATGACCCAAGGAGAAGCTTGGCTGCCTCGCACCTCTGTTTTCGCTGACGAGCTTGACATGTCTGTAGAACGAGTGTTAACTTGGTTAGAATCATCACTCGGCTAACAAATCGAGTCGTCTTCTTTTGGACGACCGTTCAACACCCTTCTCTCTTTCAATCTTTCAATCATGCATAAGTAATTCTTGCTCAACTTTCTACCACCATTCCTCACACTTAACGTAATCCCTAATCTATATATTTTAATAGCCTCTTTTATCTTGTGTTTCGTATCAGACATACTATAATCAGCAAACCTCTAGGTGCGAGACCATTCCATCTCATGCCCAGTCTTCGTCATATGTTCGGCGACTTAGGATCGTCCGACCCAGCTTCCTTTTCAAACATTTTTGTGCTTCGCAAATCTTTGCCGGATCGCCCGTAAGATCTTGCCAGCATAAGGTCGACCACAGGATCACATATTCTTATAACATCTGGATTTTGGCAGTGGGTTATATTCCTCTCTAAAAGTAGGTAAAACAGGAGAAAGTGTCAGAGTTTCTTTGGAAACTGTCATCATCCCACACTTGCTCACTAGTTCTCCTATCTTCTTAGAAAGAATACATGACGGCAAGATTAGAACATGAGAAAAGGTTTCGGTTTGCCACTCCCTGACCAAATAGTCTCCGCCTGAACGTATATTCCTCGTTAAAACATTATGATTGTCAATTAAACGCAAAGGATAATTATTTTTCATGAATAAACTTTTCCGTCAAATGATTTTACCCCGCAAGCTCACAATCCTGATAAGTATACATTTTAAAATACCGAGCTTAGTTATATAAGTATGGTTAGAAAGAACATTAAGAACAAAATCAGCATACGCTGGTTTCCTATAAACATATTTGCCTAGCTTACCATCTTCCCTAATAACCATAACGGCCCAAAAGGAAATTTCCTATTTTCTTCTAATTGCATTTGAAAGTTAATATTTTTTCCACGCTGGTTAGGTGAAAAAAGGAAACTATCTAAACTATCTTCACCATGCTGCCAGATCACAAAATAATCCTCTCTATATCTAAAACAACAATTTAGGAATCAGAATTACCTCCTGCATTAAGCTATCTTTAAGCTTAGCCACGCAGTTACTCGCTAAAATTGGAGTTAGGCAAGAACCCAGTGCAAGAAGTAATTCTGACTCATAAATTGCTTGTTAGGTGATTGTTTTATGGATGATTATTTTACGAGCCGGCAGCATAGAAAAGATAGTTTAGAAGTTCGTCCTTAGAATCTTGCAATGTTTCCCTTCGAAAATGGCTCGCAAGAAATGCTCACGAGTAGACATTCAACCTTTGCTTTTTTCAAGCCTGTATTGCCCGATCCTCCAGGCCCTTGGAGGCTACACACCAACGCGCGACGTAGATACTGCGCTGCGAGGCTGCACGATGACGAGGCACAAATCTGCTGATCTGAGCTACTATCGGTCGGGGCAGTGTCTGATTCAACCGACGCTTCGCCTTACTTAAGATCTTACGGCCATCCGGAGCATCGATATACACCAAATTTAAGACAACTGTGCCCGGTCTAAACGCCTTGTGAGTGCATTGGAGGCGATCGATAACATGCGTCTGCGATGCAATGAGGAATGGCTGTCAAATTTAGGACAGGTGTACGAGGTCAAACGCCTTCAGAGCGCGTTGGAAAGATTGATTAAATGAGTAATAGTAGATCTGAGCCACTACGAAATGGATCACTCAACCTATTGGCTTTAGAGGCAGAATGCCGGTTTGCACACAACACTGCTCAAGCAGAGAAGCTCGTCACTTCTGTCGTCGAGATTGGTCATGTTTGTTCGAAATAAACAAGGTGAATTTTTCCTATTTTAAGTGGAGTTTCGAGACTACCAGTAAATCAGTA